GAAACTTTACTAAAACAAAATTGTACTAATTCGTACAAAATCCTTTGTTTTCCATTGTTCAAGTAGTACTATTTTGTACTAAATACTATTTTGTGTTTCACAGATATACTGTTTGCACTCTACTGTTTGCACTCCAAAATGTTCAACCACTTCACTATTAAACATACAGTTTAATTCATATTTATTGAGAAGTTTAGACTATTTGCGCGCATTCATACCAAGCTCAATTAACAAATAGAAGATTCAACAAAACACTTGGGCATGCTAGTAAGAAGTATATCAAACTGTAGAAAAAACTTAGCAACGCTAATCTAAAGAAGCCCGAGTTAACGCCACAGGTGGCATCTAGTTTAAACTTATAGGAGAAACATAACATATACTTTATTTGTTGTACTGAAATTGTGTCAGTAAAAGGTATTATTGAGCAAAATATTGACTGGTTTTATTATTGCATGCATCTTTCATAATATCTACAACATAGAATGATAATAAAGTCAAACTTTATAACCCAAATTTACAAAACACTTCTACTTTGTGGTTGTTTTTTTGTTTTTTGTTTGGAGGATGGGTGTTGATTCAGTAAGTTCTATTTTTAAGTAACTATAAAACTTGGGCCAGCTATAAACAATGAAAGAAACTAGCATGGAACTATTTGACAGGATAAAACCCAAGTGTCATAAACTTCTACATTAGAATATTCCTGTTCAGGATATCCATGAACGGCTTCATCTAATTCTTCGTCCTCGAGGTCGTAAATACTCTCATTCTCGTTGCTTGAATCAAAGTATTCATCAGCATTATCAATGGATTCCATCTTACAGCCTTTCTTTGATAACTGGTTAATTTCAAAGATACAAAGATGCAAATAAAGCGACCAAAACAGGTAAAAACACTGGAAGGAACAGCCAAGCTCTACTTTGTTTTACTTATTGGAAGCCGAGTCTTTCTAGCTGTGACGTCATTCCACCCCAACTAGGTACCAGACCTCGCGATCTCATCCAAATAGATAAGGCGTGACAAAACTGCGTACTTTGGGGTGTTATATCTCTGAGTATATTTAGTCAATCGAAAAAATTTTTTTTGTCTATTCATCTCCAACACACAGAAAATCAAAATTAATCATAATCCTATAAAGGTTATAGGCACTTTAAGCAAAGTTCAGGTAATGAATGACATTAGCTAAAACTTAATCATCTGTTACGCGGTTAAGCATAAAGAATAAGGGATAAAATGGATAAAAAGCACGCTGTTGAGCAAGGACTTTAAGAATAAGGGATTRAATATATATGCACGTGAAAATTGGGATTACATCACCAGCTCTATATAAGAAATGTAAATGTAAAATAAAGTGAGCAGCAGTTAATACTTGAGGACTTCGTTGTTGGTTTTGGGCCGACGGTACATTTTTGATAGCAGAGCGAGGTTTGAGATTCTGGAAGCGTCAGGTACAGTATTAAGTGCTAGCTCATGGAAACAAGATCTAAGGCAAGGAATAGGGAAGAAGCCTCCGAATCTGGAATGCATTTCAGTGTTGAGGAATACAAGGATTTGCCAGGACCGGCTGGAGATCAAAAGAATGAAGCCTTTGAAAGACAAGTTACGGACATCTTGAAGGAGGTTAAACTTTTTGTCGCAAATGCTGACGCCGAAACAAACGAACTGGAGAGTCAAGTTCTAAAAAACTAAAAAGATAATTTCATTTGCTAAAACCTTAAATGGCCATAAGGTGTAGGATTTTGCTCTCTGTATCTGTCAATTTTTTCAACTATTTAAACGAAAACTCTAAAATTGAAAATATGGAATTCAAAGTTTAACTTTAATTGATAAAAAAAATCGAAAATTGGGGCCAAATTCAATAAATAGATAATTCAATTATATTAAAAAGACGAATGGCCATAAGGTACACACATTACAAATGAATTTGTTAAAATAGTGGAATAGCGTTCATGTGGTAGTTATTCTTTTCTATTTATCAAATGATAAACAAAAAATAAAATTGTAGCTGTGATTGGCAAAATTTAATTTTAGTTTCAAAACAAAGTCATCAATATTTGATAAAGCCAAACGTACATTGAATATTTCATTGCCAGGCCCAAATTACAGGCAAAAACGCTCACGCGTTGACCCCTAGAGTCGATTAATGATTTGAATTTTCGAATTTCGAAAATTGACAACGTCGATAACGAAGATATGAAAATTCCAATTAACTTTAAATTCAACATACGACACTTTGATTGGTTAATCAGTGCTAACACAGGAAGGCCAAGAAAACATGGCGGCCAGAAATAGTTTTGGCCGTGTTTATGTGCCGGGAAAGCCTTTACCTGATATTATTCGACAGGAAATATTTGTTCATCTCAGCAATAGCGGATTGTCCAATAAAGCAATTTCGCGACAACTGAAAATTTCTAGTTGGGGAGTCCAGAAAATACTTCAACATTATCGACGACATGGAACTGTGTCTCCATTTCGCTCAAGGCGGGAGCGTTCCCTACAATTTATTGATGATATCCTCCAAGTAATTGAGGCATGGAAATTACAAAACCTAGTGTGTATGCTTATGAAATAAGAGAGTGACTTCTGCTCGAAGGTATCTGTAATTTAGATGGTTTAGCTTCTTCATCACGAGTCGAATAATGAACTGAATTTTCATTTGAATATTGCAATATTGCATTATTCCGGTTCGTACGTGTAAAAGGAATAATTGCCTAATGATTTCATTAATCAAATCTAGGGGTCGACGCTTGAGCTTGTTTGACTGTAAAACAAAATGGACGAGCGATACACGGACTCACGATGCAGGAGGAGCAGGAAAAAAGGTCACCGTTTTCGTAAGATATAACTAAAACAAGGCTAAAACTGAATTATAGAATTCAAAATTTTTCTTTTTAGTTTTGATGTCATTGGATATAATCTAAAATAACCAAGGTTTTACCTTCAAGTTGTCTCGACACACTTGACTCTTGAATGCAAACACGTTCCAACACGACGTGAACACCGAACACTGAACACTGCGCATGCGTACACAGGAACCCCAACGCGATGTGCAAACATTTGAACGTAGTGGGGGAGGGAAAGGGAGTGAGCTGGGTCTTGCCTGCGGAGGCTCTAGTTAAGCATTTATTTTCTTTATTTTCTTCATTTTCTTTTTCTTTTTCATTTTTCTTGTTTCAATGCTCAATGGTATTCCAATTTTACTTTAATTACCCATAATTTCTCCAATGATTTCAAGGTCTATAATTACCATAATTTTACACGCCCTCCCTGGGTTAGGCGAAATTTGTACTACTAGTATAGTAAACATGGCTTCCAGAAGTAGATCTGACTCCTAAACTTTATCAACGATTTCGTCAAGTTTGTGAGCAATGGCCTGTGGATAAGACTAGATGTGGGGGAGACCGGGACTAATATGAAGCCACAATTTAATCTTTTTTGCTAGACGAATGAAGGTGAAAAGATGCTGCACAATCAGGTGAAAAAAGCCACCACAAATCCCAGACCCACAAAGGATCAATACAAAAAAAGTTAGTTTTAAAACAATCTTTACAAATATATTTCTTAGCTTATATTAATTTATCTTTTACGAACTCCATACATTTACCGTAATTCGAACGACACTAAAATTGAGCTTAGGATACCTGTAATCAGTTTCAAAAACTGAGGCAATATTCATTATTATAAACTTTTGGTCGAATTGAGCAACCATATGATTACATGTAACAGCCGGCCATAAGCAAGGACCTTTAAGCAAGGTTTGTTCAAGACATAGTTAGCCTAAAAAGGCCCACATGTATTAAAGTTGAGGACAATGTGACAAATTTCAGGGGTATAATTATCCTATGTGAGATTATTGTCCATATAAACTCTTATGCACTTTTATCTTTGATAACGTCATCCTTATCTGTACTCTTTATTTATTTATTCAACTTTACCACTGTGAGGTGGACAGAAATACTTACAGGTCTAGGACCATATTACATATATAGCAAACAATTTGAATTTGAAAGTTAATTTTCGTGGAGGGAGGAAAACCAGAGAACCTGCGAAAAAAACCCTTGAAGCTCAGCAGAGAACCAACAAAAGACTCTAATCAGATACAACACCAAGAACCTGAATCGCATTAGTGAGAGGCAAGTGAGCTTAACACTACATCACCTGTACTTCCCTTTTATAATGCACCTATCAATATAAAGCCTCTGGGATTAAGGGGGCAAACCCAGGGGAATTGACATT